TTAATATTCAATAAATTCTTTTATTCGAAAATTAGGTGTTCGATTACCTTTATATGGCACTCTTTTTTCCCTTCTCCTGCAGTGCCTCTCAAAAGTGTTTGTACACTTATAATTTTCTAAAACATTTAATGTTTTCGACTAATAAACATTAATGTATCGGAAATGTAATTTTTTAAATACAGTCGGACCTTTATATAACGAAGTCGTTAAATCCCGAAGAAAAACAAATTCGTTATGTGGAAAATTCGTTTTATAGAGGTTCATCTTTCAATATACTTTATAAACCACATAAAACAAATTTTAAATTCATAAACACTATATATTAAAAAACAGTAATTATTCACACCTCTTTGTAAAGTAATATCTATCTATTTAGTATATCTTACTCATCAAAAATAAAATCGAAAACTTGCAGGGCGTGAGTGAGTGAATATTAACGTCGCACTGTTCAGCTATATACAGGAGGACTTTTGGCGACGGACCTCGTAATTTTGAACCGTGGTCAAGTGACGAGAGCAACACCTGAGCTGGCATTATTATTAAAGACATTATCAATTTTTAAGGCATAGTATAATTATTATTTGAAAAATTAATAATAAAAAATCACTAAAAAATTACCACAAAATTCTTCATACACTTAAAAAAAATCTGATCATAATTTTAACTATAGAATTTTTTTCTTAATTTAGAAAGTAAGATGTATAAAAGCGTCCACAACACACCTTTCAAACATCTAGGTATAGATCTCATCAGTTTTGTTGTTGTTGTTGTAATTTCTGCATCGATAATCCTCTATTCTTCTGTGATAACTGTTCTTAGTTCACATTTTGTTTTTATATATTATGTATTCTTACTCTAACTTCAAATTCCCATCAAATATGCGCTACTGGGCTTAAATCAGGTAATTGAGGAGGCGTTTTCAGAATTTGGGGGCGGTTATAGAGACACCAGATTTGAGAGTAGTACGATGGGGGCTATTATCTTATTAAAAAAGGAATTCGTCTCCAATATCCAAAGTTTGGACGGATATTTTCAAATTGTTCCTTAAAATATTTTAATAAAGCTCGTATAATTCACAACACCATCAAAAAATAACAAAATACTTAATCTTGAAGCCGATATACCCCCCCCCCCCACACACACACAAGAACACCTTCACCATGCTTCACTTTAAAACTAAATTCTTGAGATTAAGTTCATCGTTTATTCTTCTCCGAACTATTATATTGTTACGTTGATCGGGGTTCGAAGATTTTATGCAAAATCAGTCGTAAGCAACAAGGCAATTCTTAAAAGGCGATGAGTATTTATTGTCGTAAATCAATCTTTAAAAATACAGGATTTAACAACTAAATTCGTAGAATAAATATCATAAGGATTTCACACCTTCAACAGCACTCAGACACAATTATCAGTGTCTAACATACACGTACGTAAAAGACTATCCACAAGCACAGCTCGTAATATTGAATAGTCGAGCTAATCGCTAGTTCTCATTATCAAGGCAAGTTTACTAATCACTAGTCAAAACCAGACTGACTGTTGCGGCGAGTATCGTTCTATTTATAGCCATGGCCGAAACTTCGAGAAAGATGCGCTCGCGTCATAGATCGTGAAAATAGTGGAATTCTCCACTAATTTCTAGAAGAATCAAGAGGGTCCCGAACTCGCCAAAAATGATGCCAACTTGGCTCTATCGCTAATATTTTGTCAAGTTCCCATTGAATCGCCATTATAACGTAAGGGACGGCGTTGATTGTGAATATTACAATTAATAAATATAGCATAGAGTAAAAAAATGCATTGGACATCCAAATATACAAATTATTTACATTATTTTATACAAAATTCGTAACAATATTCTTGTCTGAACTAAAAATGTTGAATTTTCTGTCATTCCAATCACTTTTCTGCCAATGTTGAAATTTTCTGAAACTTAATTCTGGTATATTAATTTTTGTTAGCCAAAATTATTAATATTTTTTAGAAAATTGAAAGTGTACGAACACTTTTGAGAGCCCTGTATATATTTTTATTTTTAACGAACTTTGAAAAAAAAAAAGGTTTTGCTACTTAAATTTAAATGTGGTCTAAAGAGAAAAAATTCAATTTTGAAAATTCAGCTACAAGGTTTTTCTTACAAATTTTTGAAGTATCCCATCAATTCTAGAAGTCTCCATATGAGTACAATTTCAAGCACTTTGTATATGTAAGATGTGTTTTTTTATTTTTATTTTATCACGCAGTTTTTAAACTGACTTTTGTTCTCTATATTAATACTGAGCATGAGCAATCTTTGATACACAAAAATATGGGATATTATATATAGTATACCATGTCTATTTTTAGAAGCATTTAAACTTCTTTTAAAATTGAATGAAAAAATGTACTTTTAAAATTTATTCCAGGCATTTTTAACTATCATATTTTGACGGGATATATATTTATTATAAATAAGGAAATTAATACTTAATTGGTGAATTTTTATTTTAAAGTGATTTAAAATTTAAAAAATAATGGAAAATTTTAAGACACCAACTAAGATTTTTTCATCAAACCTGGTTACCGCATTGAATCCTTACACTTTATTTACTGAAAGTTGTATGGGCATATTTTTTATTGATAAAATGAGCACAAAATAATTCAGTAATTCATTCGCAACTGATATTTGAAGCCAAAGTAAAGCGATGTGGATGCAATAAAAACGTCAGCTTCTTAAGCGAAGACGTAGTCTGTAGACAAGGCAAAGTTATGCGTCAGCATCCTAAGTAAGGACAGTTTCCTAAGACATGGTAAAGCTATGCGTACGCACTCTAAGCAAGAACGGTTTCCTAGAACGGGGTAAAGCTATGCATCAGAAACCAAAGTGAGGACGGTCTCCAAAGACAGGGTAAAGGTATATGGATACAATAAAAACGTGAGCTTCACAAGCGAAGACGGTTTTCTAAGACAAGGTAAAACTATGTTAATGCAATAAAAACGTCATCTTCCTCCATTTTTGCTCAGAAAAGGCAGTAAGCAATCGTACAGTATTAGTAAGTTTGAACTTGTTTTATTAATTATATATATTTTCAGACAATTTTTGATATATCTCAGTAGTGGTATATTTTATGATTTCTTCAACATATATTTTTAAATAAAGGTATTTGAGGTATTGAAGGCAATATATATATATGTGTGTGTGTTAACTTTCTTTATCTAATTAAATAGAAATGAAATATTTAAATCTCAGATGTCATTTCAAATCTTCAAGCTTTTAAGGGTTTCAAGGCTGACTCGAAATAGTAATATACCAAAATTTAGACACTGTTTTTGTGATGCATATTTTTAATATTTCTAATAGAGCTTAGATTTTTTGTATACTTATAATAATGATACCATAGTTATCTCCTGAACCACATCAATAACCTTTTTTTCTTCTTTTTTGGCTCAAAAGTGTTTTCTTTTTCTGTTTTAGTTGCATAGGATACAAAATTTAGTTTCTCGTATTACGTACATATTTTCATTTAGATACCATTTTTAAAAATAACATTACTTAAATATATCAAACATTTTACACACACATATATAAAATAATGCACGAAACATAGTTAAGGAGTTATTTGATGAAAATCACTGAATAAATTCTTTGAAAAAAATTATAAAGCCATTTTTTTATATAAGATTCTAATTTTTTTTCATATGTAAAATTATTTTTATATTATTTGGTACAATTTAGGGAAAAAAAAAAGGTTTTGCATCAGTATATGCATAGGAATCTTTTACAGGAGTATAAAGGATTTGGAAGAACATAGTGCAGTTTATATAATTGTGTACGTATAAAGGCACTAAAATTTAATATTAGGTCGTTACCAGTCAAATTGTTTCTAATTTTCGCGAAGAAGGGGGGGGGGTAACATTACAATATCGTTATATTGATTTTTAACGTTTGGTAATATGTTTGTTACAGTGTTTATGAATATGATAATCCTTACTATTTTGGTTTATTTTTGTGTGGTAACCCTATTAATTTTAAGCAATGCGATATTTTAAAAAAATATTTAACCATTTTTATATTGGACGCTATTTTGTTGCAAAATTCTATTTTTGTAATTTCCGTTGGATAATGGATATCTCAGAAATCACTGATATTAGGATTATTTTTTAAAAAGAGTATGGGAGCTCCACATTAAATTTTTATGGATTAATAGGTTTACAAAATTAGCTCTTTTGGTAAATTTTATTTTTTTAAGGGATTGAATTATTTTTTTTTAAACCTTTGTTAAGATTTTACCGATTTCGCCCAATGGGAAATTTGATAAATCTGGTAAAAACGTCACAAGTGTTTCTCAAAAAGGTAATAAATTGGGTAGTCAAATTTTTTACTGCGGATCTAATGGTGTGAACTCCAATTGGCATGACGATAGATCTGTCAGGCAGAATTCTATTTTTAATGGTAGTAAATTGCAAATTTCTATTGTTTTATTTTTCATAAATGATTTCCTAATTTTTTTCGCGTCCCATAATATAGCCTCGCTCTTTTTAGTATTTAATTCTTTCGGTTTCAATTATTCATTTAAAATTTATACTGATTTCGTTTCTTTTTCTTTCATTATTTTGAAATTCTCCACAATCAGTTTCTTTATCCTGGTACTTACAATTTCCATTGAAAAGGGCGCTGAACAATATAAGTACATTTCTTCTTATTCCACTTTTTAAATGGTTGTTATTCTACAATTCACTGTTGCTTCATTAAATTCAGCAATATTTCTTTCAATTCCTACTATTAGTTCACTCTCTCTCCTTATATATATATCTTGTTCAAATTTTCAATCCTTAATGAAATACTTTCTTTACATCCAATCAAGTTCAAATGCATTTTTTAAAACTTGAAGTAGATCACTTAATGTTAATACACTTTTTTCAAATATTAGTTCATTAATTAAATTAAAAAATGAATAGTAACAAACAAAAACATACATAGAAAGCATATATAGAAAGGAAAATCATTCGTTGTGTTCAAGTAGCGCAAAGGATAGCGCGTTGGATTTTTAATCCAAAGGTCGAGGGTTCGAATCCCACCAGGGATGGCCTTATTTCTGAGAATGTGATTTCTTTTTACTACACTATTTTATTAGAATAATTAATAAATAAATAGTAGTGAGTGAATATTAACGTCGCACTGCTCAGCTACATGAGGGCTTTTAGCGACGGACCTCGTAATTTTAAACCATGGTCAAGTGACAAGGACAACACCTGAGCTGGCATCCCCTCTCCTAACTACCACACCACACCAACGGGAGGACGTTTGAGCTCTCGACAGATTTAACGTGCATCGCGGGTCTTCAATTGGTACTGGGCTCGAACTTATGACACGACAGCCACGATTCGATACCTTGACCATTTGGCTACAGCGGCCATATGAATATATATAAATAGTAACAAACAAAAAGTCTAACACCATATATAGCAGGGGTGGCCAACCTTTTTTGGAAAGAGTGCCACTGTTTGATATTAAATCATTATGCGTGCCACTTCCAGCAAACAAAAAAATATAAAAGATGAAATTTTTTTAATTGTTGGTTTATGGGATCTTTTTTTTTACGCAAGTTGCATATTTTTTTTTTTGTGAAACTCTAAGTAGTATAAATTTAAAAATATAATAAATATATATTTAGATATTTTTGTTAATAAACTTTTTACTTAATTTTTGTAAACTTTTTCAAGTGTAAAATAAAATTGAATAACTTAAAACATTTAATTTTCTAATTTATTATTAAACAGTCAGTACTTGCTTAATGTAGTTTTTTAATTTGTGGCTTTTTTACTAAGTCATCTATCTATATTAGGATTAGTTATTGAAAACCCAATAAAATTAGGTTATTAAAGGTGTATATCAGTTCATTTTGAGTGATATTATGATTTTATTATGTTCGTAATAGAAAGTATTAATTCTCAAACTTGTGTCGATCCAAAACTACAACATTTGACAGACAAATAGTGTACATTTGGAAAATTACCTGTCAATTCCAATATTTAATACAATTTTTAGATCACTTGAGTTGAAATAAGTTTCTTATATTTTCTTTTCAGCCTAGTATAGTGCTGTAGGTTAATAATTGCGATTTGGTTTTCATGTGGGTATTAACTAACGCCTTGTAGAGAAATTGAAAAAGAATTTGTGAAAAAATCAGCATTTTTTTATCGACTTGAAAATTATTTAACACAGTACTGAATGAATCCTTCAAAATGAACATTGAATTTTTAAATCTACTATAGCTGGGAGCATTTCTGTGATAGTTAATAATGCTCGACGTGTTTTTTTTTCCTTCAAAAGAGAGATAAAGGTACATAAGTTTGTTTACAAACGATACATAAACTAGGGTAGAAAAAATACAATTTTTTCCCCAGTAAGCTTAATTTTAAATGTCCCATAATATCGGTAAGAAAATCTTAATCCCATAGCCAATCTTGGATCTTAAGTAGCAAGCGCTCATCGGAAAGTTCATTGGTTTCTTTCACATATTTTAAAAAAAGCGCTTCCTCAAATTCCAAAATCTCGCGAGCACACAACAAGAAAAGTATTTTTTACATGAGTTTTCTATTGTAATTCAATTAAGTGTGTTTAAAATAGATTTTGAGGCAAAATAGATTTCTGTCCGAGGCAACCGCAATTTAATTAAAATTGTGTAAAAAGAAAAAAAAAATTTTTTTTTCAAACTTTTCAATAAGTTTTCGCGTGCTACTGTTACAACTCCGCCGTGCCACACTGTGTCAAGCGTGCCGGCCACCCCTGATATATATAGAAAGGAAAATATTGCAAGAGGAAAATCTCTTTATTTTGTCACCTAATATTGTGATTCTGTCATATACGTTTATACATATTTATATTAATTGTAACTATTTAAGGCTGTCTTCGGCTAATGTTAAAGAATAGGGATCAAATTCGGAATATTTTTTGAGATATAAAAGTACTCCAACACATTAAAATATTCTATTCTGGCTTCACTATCCTGTACAGAATCACTTATTTTATCATACTACTCATTTTTATCCCACATTCGACACATTTTTTTCTTTTATAAATTGTGTTTCGCACTTTTTTCTCCTCTCCTCATCCCCCCCCCCTTTTCTCGTAATACTAAATGATCTATCCCCTTACATGTTCAAAGAAAAAAAAACTATTTCTGAAATATTTTGAAATTTTAAAACAAATGCATGAGTTACAATGTCACAAATTTTTATAAAAATAGAATTTTTTCTCTTCCAAAATGTGTTCCGCGTCAAGTTCACGCTCGCGTCATATGGCGAAAATAGCCTAAATAAGAAGTAAAAATAAAAATTTTCTTTGTTGGCCTAAGTAGAAATAGACATAATTTTTTTTTTAACATATATATACATACTAGCTTTTACCGGCGGCTCCGCTCGCGTTGATGTCTTTGAATAACTGTCAAAGTCGTAATTATTATCATTAGAAAGTAAATAATATAATATGGTAATTTTTTTTATTGCTTGACTGGAACCAATACAATTTAAAAATTCTACATTTGAGCTTAGTTTAAAAAAACTGAAATCGAAATTTATTATAATAATTATTAACAACAAATTCAGTAACTTAAACTATTAATATCTTTAAAAATCGAAAGTATCTATGTTTAATATATAATTCATCTATAAAAGTGCTCAAAACAGAATATTATTCTAAGATGCTACTGTATACCATATTATTTGTTCTTCCGTCAGTTGCAAATATGTGAAGATTTGGGCATTGGGCACACCGATCAGGCTACATATAGTTGACCATGGGAAAAACATTGCTTTTCCAAATGCACCCCTGCTACCTGAAATATTAGCTTTGTTAAAAGCAACAGTAAAATTGGAAATTGAACTTGTTTGAATTGAAATGGTAGTCAGTGGGGATACTTGGAATTCGAGGTATAACACTATCCCTTTTCATGACATATGTTAAAATATTGGCAACAAGTACATTCTGCATCAGTTTTGTGATCCAAAGCCTCGTTCCTTTACATAGTCCAGGAACATCGAGATTTTGCATAAGTATAACTGATACATTTAGTTTTAATTGAAGTTTATGTGAGGGTACACCCGAATGTTCAAGCGAATTTAAGAACTCCGTGGGATATCGAGTACTTTTTTTCTTTATCCATGATTGTATTTTTTTTTTTTGATAAATATTTCTTCATCACCCCCCCCCCTCTCTCTTTCCTCGATTAAATTTTCAATGTTGATTTTATGGACAATGCCATAGTTAGGCATAAATATTGATCTTGCTCGCAAACACTGATCCCAATTTAAATTTTGTTGCAAGCCCGGGTAAATTTGAGAAATAAGATTTACATCATTTTCTTTTACATTACAAAGTTCTCTGGAAGTAAAATATAATCTCCAGCATTTGCGTCCAAACATCCATAACCGATTTTCAATTGCGTCTGTGCATAATGTTCCGAATCTACGTCATTATGACGATGCACTCTCATATTCGTTTTCAGACTGAATTGTTCAACTTTTGCCCATAAGCTTGAATTCACCAGCCAATATATAATAAAGCTACCATTCCTCCTATAATATCTGTACTATCTCGTAAATCCTGAAGAGTCCGATTATAAACGCTTCTATAGCTTTCTTCTGAGACATCGTACTTTCATCCCACACTAAAAGGTTACATTGTGGAAGATCCAGCCTAGAGAGCTATTTTTTCTGAAATTTCAGATGAGTGAATCTTCAAATGCAAGATTAAGCGATAATAATAAAACGGAATGTGCAGTACGACCGTTGGTAAGTAAAATCGCGGCTATACCAGAAGAAGTCATAGCAATTGGGTTTTTCTGATAGTCATTAATAAGTTTAGCTGAAACCTTTTTCCGGTTCCTCCAGGGGCGTCGAGAAAAAAAGAGTGCACCACTGACGGATTCTATTTTACGTAACACTTGTTGGAAAACGTGACTTTGTTCTGGAGTTAATTGAGGGATAAATTCTGTTACTTGATGTTGCAATGCTATAGAAACGTAGTTTAATTCTCAAGCAACTTCATTATCAAAGCTATTTCCGTCGACACGTCTAGGACTAATCACTCCAAAATCATGTAGCTTCTTCCCAACCACTCTGAAAACCTTTATTGCGTTTCGTTGTAGATGTGTTCATTGAAAGGCATATTTGGTATAAAAAAAATCTTCTTTGGTAAAATATCTTCCGCCATGTAGTCTTTGTACTTATTCCAAAAGGTTTGAGGATTAGAAAGACCGAAGATGAAATAAGTATTGCGTAAAGCTCCCTAATTTTATTTGGTGAATGACATTGTATATAGCTTCCTCCATAGTAATATCTAATATATCTTCAAAGTAATACCCCCATGTAAAATTTCTAAGTTCAGTATAAGTGAAAAATTTGTGCAAAATATGAATATTGTATAATTAGGTTTAAAAAAATTCAAAGTAATAAATATTCGATAAATCAAAACTTTTTATGAAACTGTCAATAAATATTACCATAGAATTTTCAATATCACGCGAGCAATTCGCTAAACCTTTATTTCGTTTCCCTCTTTAAAAAAGTGGGAGAAAATTTGCATTAAAATATCTGGGATTGTTGGAATAGAGAACTTCTTAGCCAACTTGGCGATATTTCTCAAAGTTTGAGTTTGACATTTAACAAACGTAACGTAATACACGTTAGACGTTTAATAAATTTTAAAGATGCTAAATTACACTATGTTTCAGTTATTTGTTACAAATGTGAGAAAATTTTAAATCAAATTTCCATTATTGACCAAATGCATAATTTTGCACCAACTTGGCGGGGAGTAAGCAACGTCAACATTTTACCCGCATAGTTCCCATAGGAATATGGAGATAAACTATATCTTATGTTACTCACTGATAAAGTAGCTTTCCATCGGTGAAAGAATTTTTAAAATCGGACCAGAAGTTCCCGAGATTAGCCGGAACAAACAGATAGACCGACAGACAAAAATTTTAAAAATTGAATTTTTGATATAAATACTGTATATACCTTTAAATGCATTTAGTAAAAAACTGCTAATTTGAAATTACAGACACTTCAATTTTATTTA